CTCTGATTTGAATCTACGCCTCTCCAGAGGACCCAGGACAAAGGAAGAGGCCTATCAGTCAGGACTGCAAACAGAGCCCACCTCTAGCCTACTATATTAGTTACACTCATGTCACTATGAACACAATGTTCGACAGAAACAGCTTAAGGGAGGAAAGATTTATTTTGGTTTGTGGTTTTAGTCATGGTGGTGGAGAAGGTGTGATAGAGCTGTTCACAGCATCTGGGCAGGAATGTGTGGTAGAGGCCGTTCACACCATAGTGGATCAGAAAGTACCAAGAAAAAGGCGGGGGGGAGAAAGGAAGGAGAGGGGAGAAGAGATGGGAGAGATGGAGGAGGGATAGAGAGAGAGAAAAAAAGAGAGCATATTTAGAGAAACAGGAATTAGGGGCCAGGTAGTACCATCCAAGCCTTGCCTCTAGCAACTACTTCTGCCATCTTGGCCCTGCCTCCTTAACAATGCTTAACCTGCTAAAGTAATGCCACCAATAGAAGAGGCAATCAGAATATGAGCTGTGGGGAGCATTTCACATTCAAAACATAACCCCAGGCAGGCGGGGCGTGGTGGTGCACGGCTTTAATCCCAGCACTCGGGAGGTAGAGGCAGGCAGATCTCTGTGAGTTTGAGGCCAGCCTGGTCTACATAGTGAGTTCCAGGACAGCTGGGGCTACAGGGAGATGCTGTCTCAAAAAAGATAAAAAACAAACAAACAAACAAACAAAAAAAACAACATAACCCCAACTCACCTTGAGAAGAGGATTTATGGGGGCCAAAGAAATGGCTCAGCAGTTAAGAGCATTGGCTCCTCTTGCCAGCATCCACATGATGACTGACAACCAATTCCAGGGACTCCAGTACCTTCTTCTGTCCTCAAAGGGCACTGCACAATATGGGTACACTTACATATAGGCAGGCAATACACCATATACATAAAGCAAATATAAATAAATTTTTTTACAAGGAGGAGAATTTATTGTTTAGTAGAAAGACCAAAGAGTGTAACCCTAAGACTACTGGAGGGCCCTGCAGAGGTCCTGCTTGGCAGCAAGGACTTCTCAACCATATGGTCCTAGTGCTGTTGCTATTGCTGCACAAATGTCCTCTACAATGCTCTCATTGCCCTCAAGATTCTAGGAACAATGGATTCTATGGGCACAGCTTGGGACGTGCTCAAGAGGGGTCCTTGCAAAATTGGGAGCTGGATACAGGGGGTGCAAAGCATCACAGCATCCACCCCAGCCTCACATGTGGACTCTCATGTGGTGAGGAAAAGGAACACTTGGGCTCTGGGTATGTGTGGATGGTGAGCATGTCGCTGGACTGTATTGTATCAGCTTCTGCTGGGCCCTTCCTCCTCCATCTCCTGACACCCTGACTCATGGCTCAATGTTCCTAGCACACTTGTCCCTGTTCCCCCATTTCCAATATTCAGGGTGTGGCCACCACTTAGGTGAGCACAAGCTGTAATTAGCTCGGAACATCAGTATTGAGCCTGCTGTGGCTGACAGCAAGATAAATAAACTTAAATGACAAAGTAATTGCAAATCGGTTTTCATTCTGCTCTGGTAATAAGAAGCTACGGCAGGAATGGAGGGCTTGCTACCTCTGGCAGGTTTGATGGATGATGGGGTGTCTGGTCAGCCAAGTAAGTGTGTCATCCTGGTAGCTAGACTGTCTACCACAGTGCCCGAAGCACTCCCACCCACATCAGAATTAGGATATGCCTTCAGGATAGTATCAAAAGGCCAACTTCCCATGCACATCTCAAAATCCAGAATTTCACTCTTTTACCATGAACCTGTGAGACCTCAGTGAGTTAAAGAATTTGTTTACAAGATTTCATATTAAAAAAACTTTCCTTAAGGTTGGAGAGATGAATTACTGGTTAAGAGTACTTGCTAGTTAAGAACATGTACTGCTCTTACAGAGGACTTGGATCTGGTTCCCAGTACCCACATCAAGTGGCTATAAGTACCTATAACTCAAGTTACAGGGGATCTGAAGCCCTCTGGCCTCTGTAGGCACCTGCATGCTCATGGTGCACATAAACTCACGTAGGTACACATATATACACATATATAAAAATAAAAAATAAATCTTTTGCCAGGAGTAGTGGTGCATACCTTTGATCCCAGTACATGGGAGGCAGAAGCAGGTGGATATCTGTGATTTCGAGGCTGGACTGGTTAAGAGCATATACTGCTCTTGCAGAGGACCTGAGCTCAGTTCCCAGCACTTATATCTGTCAGCTCACAAGGCTAGTACTCCTCCCAGTTTGTTTGGGATGGAGCGTAGAATGGCAACTGCCTGTAACTCAAGCTCCAAGGGAGTCCAAGACCTCTGGGTATCTGAGGGGACCTGTACTCAGATATACATACAGACATACATTCATACACATAGTTTAAAAATAATAAAAAATAGCTGGGTGTGGTGGTGCACGCCTTTAATCCCAACACTTGGGAGGCAGAGGCAGGCCGATCTCTGTGAGTTCAGGCCAGCCTGGTCTACATAGTGAGTTCTAGGACAGATGGGGCTACAGGGAGACCCTGTCTCAAAAAGACCAAAAAAAAAAAAAAATCTAAACGGCATTAAAGACTGACAGTGAAAAGCAAGCCTCCCCCCATCCCAATTGCATCAGATTGTAGAATCTTCTTGGATGGGACCCACTTGATTTAAGCAGTCCTATCCTGATGGACAGGCATCAGGCTATTTGCAGATCTGGCTTCTAGAAGCCGTGCTGCATTGAGTATCCTTGGGTGGCCTCCTTTGCACAGTGGAACTGTCTGGAAGAAGATAGACTCGGGTATCTATGGCTGAAGAGAGAACAGATCTGCATGGTTGACTGCTTACCTAGTGTCACATGACCTTTCCTGGGGAAAAAGAAAAAAAACAACCATTCGCCTAGATAGAGCAGGCACCAATGGGCCAAAGAAAGCATGCCATCCCAGTCTAGCTTGGGGAACCAAGGAGTTTATTGAGATTGCTTACAGGAGTATGAGTGACTCAAAGAAATCCCCTGGGTATCTTATAGCCCACAGCACCACCAGAGTTCCAACTCCCAATCATCCTTCCACCTCCTGCATAAAGGGAAAGGGAAGGGAAGACCTCACCCAGGGAGAGCGCCTCTCCCCTCCCTCCTAGGCCCTCTCTGTTGAGAATCTTCCGATGATGTGATTACAGCTGCTCAGATTCAATATAACTAGGGTCCTATCCAACCAGAAGGAAACAACCCAACAGCTAGGTTGACAATTCTTCAAACTCTGGAATCTGGCTGAGGTGGGGCTGGAGTCTTAACCTTTGAGATCTGCCTAATGACAGTCCTCTGACCCAGAGACACAGTGGTGCCTGGAGGTGGGGAAGCTGAGTTACACTGTGACCCCAGACCATAGTTTCTTCATCTAAAACTGAGGCGAGGGCTCCAGCTGGTGAGCTAAAATTTCCCTCCCATCTCTGACTTTCAGAGTTACTTCGTACAAGGCTCTGACTCTGTAAATTGGAACTATTGGTCCCCCACCTCATTTCCTGTTTCTCTTTCTGAGAGTGGGAAGATATAATGGAAATGGTGGATGTGGAAATACCAGGGAAGTTGTGGGCTCCTTGAGGGAAAGAGTAACAACTAATTGCCTTTGGAATCCCTCACCAGATCACTAGCAAGGCCCAAGGTATACAAAAAGTCCTCAGTTAAAAGTTTTAGACAGAAGGAATCAGAGTTATGGGGAAGCTATCACCAGGACCTGTGGCTGTCATTCCTGGTCTGTGAACTTTCCAAAGTCTCCTGGACAACTCAGTGGTCATGTCTCTAGAGTCCTGGCACCTAGGGGGCATCACCCTGCATAGTAAATTAGCAATCTCCAGGCTGTCTGAACTCCCTGGGGCTGGAGTGAAGTTCCATTTATTTTTGTGTCCGTGGAAGAAGCTTAGCACAAAGAGGGTATCTAAGAAGCATTTCCAGACGGGGTCTGTACTAGATCTAGATTGAGAGTGTTCCTGGTCACATGAAGGCTTGGACTGTTGGAGTCAGACAAGCTCCCAGCATGGATGGTGGTCTCTTCCCTACAGACCTCCTCCTTTTTGCCTGGGTGGTCTGGACTCCCCTAGACTTCTGCTGGAAGGAAGGGGGGCTGCAGAGTCTAGTGTCCTTCCTGGGGTGACCAGAAAGCACAATGGGGAGACCATAAAGAGAGTTGGGGAGACTGGTCACCAGGGGCAGCCTGGTTCAGCCCCAGCAGGCTGAGGTGAGGGTTATGAATAAGTGGGCCCACTCATTTCCCAGAAAAGCCAATTTAGTTTTTTTTTTTTAATTACTTTCTAAACTGTTTTCTTATTTGGGGGAGGGAGAGGTATAGATGTGCCATAGTGCACTGTGGAGGTCAGAGGACAACTTTCCACCATAGGAAATCAAACTCAGGTCGTCAGGCTTGGCAGCAGACTCTACCCACTGAGTCATCTCAAAGCCCTCCAATTGTGTTCTAAAGATGTAGCCCGAGGGACACCAGGTGTGGACCTGTGTTCTGCCATCCCCGCTCCCAGGGAAAATTGGGAGAGGGGAAGTCTTCCCCAAAGCAACACAGTCAAGACCCTTGTCGCTACCCCACTACCCCTTCTTTCTGCCCCCCAGTCCCTGCATGTCTGTCTCGTCTGCATGCCCGATGTGACTGCGAATCTCCTGTGTTTTCTCTCCTTCTGGCCTGTTCTCTCCGGATCTCCGGATCTCCGTCCCCCCCGCTCCCCTTTGTCCCCTAGTTGTATGTTCTCTTAGTCAACAGACCTCCGGAGCTGGGTGCAGCCATCACCCGCCACCAGCTCCGCATCCTGCCCCGCGCCTCCCCGCTAGCTGGCTCCTCGCCTCCCCCGCCCAGGTTTCCGGAGGGCGGGCGGGTCGTCAGCTCTGCCGTCAGCGCCCCTGCCCAGCGCCCGCGACCCCTCCCGGCTGACTTCATCAGAGTGGTGCGGTGCGCGCATAAAAGCCGCGGCGGGGCGGAAGAGCGCGCGACCGGCGCGGGACACCAGAGCGCTGTAGACTCCACCCGGCCGGTTAGCACTCCGCGGCCCAGGATCCCCGAGTCCTCGCCCCGCAGGTAATACCTCCTACCCCGGGCCCCGAACAGGTGGGACGCCTGGCCTTCTACCCCGGGGTGTACCTGCCCAAGCACCTGGAGTGCTGGGCAGTGCATGGAAGAGGTACGCAGGTCCACACCAGGCCGACTGGACCCAGCTGGGAGTTCGAATCCTGACCCCTATGTTAGAAATAGAATGTTCGCCTCGGTAATTAGGATGCGAGATTCCTGGTTTAGACGGAGATAAAAGAGCTTAAGCCTGCAAATAATTAGACTTGCGCGCCCGAATCTCCGCACTAGAGTAAGGAGGCTGGTGATGGAGGGCTGGGGTTAGATGTGCCTGGAGTCTTGGGGACAGCTGTGGCGGCGAGGAGCATCTAGCTTCTGGAGGTCTGGCCGGAGTGGCTGCACCGCGGGGACAGCGCTGTCTCTCTCCAGCCTAGGGGGACAGTGGAGTTCCCCCGCTGCCCGCCGCGGATACAGGTGACAGGTGCTCTTTCCCACTGCCCTTGATCCTAGACACCGCGATGCCTGGACCTTGGTCGCTCTTCTCCTTGGCCTTGATCCTCACCCTGACCCGTGTCCCTGGATCCGGCGCTTTGCCGGAGGCAGTCCAAGAGGAATCTGTCGCGGCTGCCGAGCTTCCCAGCCTGAGTCGGGGAGAACTTGGCTCCTGGCCAAAAGACCTACAGCGGGTTCGAGGGGACCTGGGTGCAGCCTTAGGTGAGTGGGGGTAGGGGCCGGGGCGGGGCGGTGTGGAGGGTTGGGAGAGACCTGTTTACGCACTTTCCTGCCTTCAGAAGCCCCACTGGCCTCCACAACAGGGTAGGAAGGTGTCCAGCCTCTTCTAATAGATTCTCAGTGCTGGAAATACTCACAGGGCAGACCTTCAGAGGGCACAATTCCATGTGGCCCCTCTGTGTGACAGTTTTAATCACTACTTACTAACCACTTTGTGCAAGGGACTATTAAGGCACTTTGCCATTTTGTACTGAAGAAAACAGGTTCAGAGAGGTCAAATGAGCGGCTTGTGGTAACCCAGCAAGAAAGCAAAGACCCAGGGCTGGAAACCAGAAGCAGTGCTTTGGACCACTGACTTCTTTTCTCCAGAATCCCTGTTAAACCACCCCAACTCCCGGCTTATCAAGCGTCAGCATCCAGGCAAAAGGGAGGAGGCAGCAAACGCAGGAGCTGAAGAGGAGATGGATTTGGATTTGGGAGAAGCTGGAGCTTGGGGTCTCCACAAACAGCAGCACCCTGGTCGACGGGAGGACCGTTTGTGGTTGCATAAGGATGATTCGTGGGCACCAAATTCATGGTCACCAGATGGGTGGATATCAGATCCATGGTCATCAGACATAGACATGGTCCAGCCCAAGCGGCAGCACCCCGGCCGTCGCTCTTACCCCTGGGTAGAGTCTGATATTGCCAAGAGGCAGCACCCAGGCCGGAGGCTGGTAGAAGAGACAGAAGAGGAGGGAGAGGGTGCTCTGATGCTTGAGAAACGCCAGCATCCTGGCAGGAGGGCCTCTGCTGACCCTTGTGGGCCCCAGGGAACCTGTGGTCAAGCAGGCCTGCTGGGTCTCCTAGGTGACCTAAGCAGGGTTCAGGAAGCCCTGGAGAAGCAAAGACCTGAAGAAGCAGTATGAGACAGTGAGCCACTGGCGGAATAAGCCCAGGGTCCAATAGTCAGTCTTTAGGCCTAGGCTGTCTTAAATCCCTGTGTGCCCTTTCCCTTAGAGCCCTGTATAGTACCCACCCAATACCCTTCCTTGCTCTCTTCCTTCGGGGACTCCAGAAAGACAGTCAGGAAGCTAAAACTCCATTTTGCCCTACAAGCAAGGGGGCATGTTGCAACCCTACAGACCTGTACCCCTTCTTCTGATATGGTCCTTCCATATCCTCTAAGAGATCTCCTCAAGCTTTGATGTTAAAGTCCCACTGTCCCCTGCCCCATGTGGCAAGACTGCCATTGTATAAATTTCACTCCACCCCCAAGGCTGGAAGCCCAGAGCAGTGTGGTGGGGAGTACATGCGGGGGATATTCAGACATGCCCTGGAGGTTGCATGCTGTATATAAGCCTGCTCTTGTTCATTCTGACGACAATAAAACACATATCCAGGTCATCTGGTTGGTCTTCTGTCTCTGGGTTTTCTCTTCAATGTTCCAAGGGGTATTTGGGACTGCTGGGGATGGAACCAAGGGTCTTGGATATAACAGGCAAGTTTTCTGCCTGTGAACCATACCCCCAGCCCAGAGGACATTAAAACAGGATGGAACTAGGGCTCTCTAACTCTTACAGAGGGAATTAGGACCCCTGAAGGAGGAGGTCCTCCCATCCCCATCTCAGAACACTCTGTGAATGGATAAGAGTCTGGAGTCCATCTGACTATGGAGAGATTAAGGGTTGGCAGAGAGAACTGTCTGCAGTGGAGCCCTGGGTCTGAGACCTGCTCAGAGGCCTGCCTGGGGTCTACCTGACTGGAGAGGTGGGAGAGGCCTGGTCCCACCTGGGTCTGTCACCCACCTGGTTTTGTGGCACTAACCAACAGTCTGTTACCTGGGAGCCTATTATGGGACAGGCATGAATAGGGCACAGGACCAGCATGTAATTAAGAGATGAAAACCAAGGGGCTTCTGAGGCGGGTCTGGGAGGCAGGGTTGGTGCAGGACAAGATAGGAGACTGGGACAAACAGAAGTCACCTGAAGACATTAAATCTAAAACCTTAAGAAACCTGTAAATTAGGCTGGGTGTGGTGGCACTGGCCTTTAATCCCAGGACTCGGGAGGCAGAGGCAGGTGAATCTCTGTGAAATTGAGATAGGTCTACATAGTGGGTTTCAGGCCAGCTTGAGCTACAGGGAGACTCTGTCTCAAAAAAAAAAAAAAACCAAACCAAACCAAAACAAAACAAAAACCCAGAAATAAAACAAAAAAAACCCCCAAACAAACCAGAAACCTGTGAATTAGGCCTGGAGAGATGGTTCAGCAGTTAAGAGCACTGGCTGTTATGTCCCCAGCACCCTCATGGCAACTGACAGCTGTCTGTAACTCCAGTTCTAGGGGATCTGACTATTTTTTGGACTCTGCAGGCATTGCATGCTCCTGAATTTACATACATGCAGGTAAAACACTCATACACATTAAATAAAAAATATTTTTATACCCCAAAATATTTTGTAGATAAAAATATCTGAAAAATATTTTAAAATTAATAAATCAAAGCCAGGTATGGTGGTGTATACCTTTAATCCCAGCACTTGGAAGGTAGAGGCAGGTGGATCTCTGTGAGATTGAGGGCAGCCTAGTCTACATAGTGAGTTCCAGGTCAGCTGGGGCTACAGGGAGACTCTGTCTCAAACAAAACAAAAAAAAAACCCAAATAATAATAATACGGAAATACAAATTAAAGCTGTGTGTGGTAGCACATGCCCTAAATCCCAGCATACAGGAGAAAAAAGCAGGGGAGATCTCTATGAGTTCCAGGCCAGTTGGGGCTATATAGTGAGACCTTGTCTTAAGGGAAAAAACAAAACAAACCAACAAAAAGAAACCTGTGAATTAGCAGCAATAGCAGTGCAGGCCATATGCACGAGCCCTATCCTAACACTGACTTTCATGCCTCCCAGTCTTATGTCTTATTACTATATCCATCTTTCTAACAAGGAAGTCAAGGCACAGGCAAGTGAAAGAAACTTGTCTGAGGCCAAATCTGCCTTTTTCATTGGCCATTTGCAACCTCTTACTGAAGCCATCATCCTACATTCCCTCAGCTTGTTAGTTAGGGCGCTCTCTGCTGGCAGGTGACAGGCTTTTCAGCATTTCTCCACAGCATTTGGCCACTGTATTAGTTTCTGCCATGACAAAAGCAATTTAAGGAGGGAAAGGAAGGGTTTGTTCTAGCTCTTGTTTTGAGAGACAGTCCATTATAGTGGTGAAGTCATGGTGGCAGTTGCAGTCAGAGATGAATGTCACTTCACTAGCTTTCCCTCTTTTTTCCTTTTTATTCAGTCCTGGGACCCCAGGCCATGGGGTGCTGCTGCCCACACCTAGGTGTGTCTCCTAGGGGATTCCAAATCCAGTCAGTTGACAGTGAAGATGAGCCCCATCATCGCCACTTTCTAGCACAGAGACTGATGGATCTGGGAGTGTGTGTGTGTGTGTGTGTGTGTGTGTGTGTGTGTGCGCGTGCGCGCGTGTAGATGGAGAAGGGAAGACTTGAGGGGTCTACAGGGTGCACTTACACCCACTATACCCACCATCTCTATGAATGCTCCCAAGAACCCAGTGAGATTTTGAGCATTTGGCAGGTGAGAAGCCCAGGCAAGGGAATCAACACCGAGACTGGAGTTCTGCCCTGATGTAGCAGTTAGAGAAGTGATAGATCTGGCCTTCTCCTTGGACTTAGCTTTCCATGTCACCAGGATGCCTTCTTTGGGAAGTTTCACACAGCCCACTGTCACTATCAGGGAATGGGGGGGGGCTCTTTGTCCCTGTGTGTACTTTGTGACAGAAAAAGTCTACCATCAGCTTCCCCCTTGAACAAGTGATGAAATCAGTTTGACCCTTAGTCCAAAGGAGATGAACTGACACAGTGGAACTCAGTACCTGGCACTGTGTCTCTGTCTCTCTCTGTGTTCTCTCTCTCTCTCTTTCTCTCTCTCTCTCTCTCTCTCTCTCTCTCTCTCTCTCTCTCTCTCCCTCTCTCTCTTTCTCTCTCTCTGACAGGGTTTAACCATGAAGCCCCAATTGACCTGGAACTCACTGGTCTCAAATTTGTGATCTTTCTGCCTTAGCCTCCCAAGTGCTGGGATTATAGGTGTGAACCCCCACACTTGACTGCAAGTAGAGTCTTTTTATTTTCTGTGTATGTGTTCTGTGTCCATGTACATAAGTGCACTGGTGCATGCAATGCCCACAGAAGCTACAAGAAGGTGTTGGGTCTCCTAGAACTGGAGTTACAGTTCCTTGTGAGCTGCCAAGTGTGTCCTGGGAATCGAACCTGGGTTCTCTGAACAAACCTTTTCTCTTATAAGTTCATTATTAGGCATTTTGTTCTAGTAAAAGTAACAGAATGCTATCACCCCATACTTTACAAGAGTTTGCACCAGGCAAGGTGATAGGACTCACTAAAGATACAGTCCAGGACTAGCAAAATGGCTTGGCCACGTAAAGGCACTTGCTGCCAGGCTGGAGGACCTGAGTTTGATACCCAGGACCCACATTGTGAAAAGAGAGAATTGACCTCTGCAGGTTTATCCTGACCCACACATGTGCACCATGGCATAAAGCACACACACAGACACACTAAACAAATAAATGTAAATTAAAAAACAAAACAAAACATAAAGGCACAGTTCAGTTTTGGAAAACCAAAAGTCAGGTGCTGTTGTTGTTAATATTTATTTCTATATTACCTACATCTGCCTTTGCTTTGAGCAGCTGTGAGAATCTGGCCAGCTCTTCTCCCATCCACCAGCAGCTGCCTCTGCCATCCAGCAAAGTCACCATTTCCTCTGATACTTTCCATAATTAATTCTTTCTGCAAACCTTATTTCGATTAATTATTTGCAAACAGGGGCCTGGTTTGCTGGGAGACTCAGTTCCTGATCCGGGCCTCTTGGGTGGCCCCAGAGCACAGAGGGCTTCCTACCTGAAGGATGTCGGCAATTAGGGTCCATTTCGGTCTCTGGGCCGGAGCTGACAGACCAGGAGAACATCAATTAGCTCGCTGGCTAAATCGTGCTCAGAGGCACAGGTTACCAAGGGGACTGTGGTTGGTGCCAGGATTTAAGTGGCATTTGTCTTCGGGGATCGTCTTTCCTGAATTGCGGCCACGTTCTGGGCTAGGTGGTTATTGGCAGGCTGATTAGGCTTCGTCCCTCATGGAGCGTGACTTCCTAATCGCCAGCTGCTGGGGAGGAGAGCTTCCAGGTACAACGCAGGTACGCCCTGTCTGACGTACTGGAGGCTGGCACGCATCCGGCACTGTGGCTTGAGAGATGGCAGTGAGCATATGCGAGGCCCAGATGCCCTCCCTTGGGAGGGGTTTAAGGGGTCAGGGAGGCTCAAGAGGGCACGGAATCCTGGGACCATTCCTGGAAGGTTGCAGATGCTCTCCAGGGATGCTGGTGGGGAAAGAACACAAAGCGCCTTTGTATGTCAGGTGACACATCATACAATGATGTGGTCAGTCCACCACCTGCCACAGAGAAGACTGTGGTCTCTTCAGATTATGTTACCTAGGGGATGGGGGTGTAGCTCATCCATAGAATGAATGAATGAAAAAAGGAAGAAAGGAAGGAGGAAGGAAGGGGTTAAGGAAAGGTAGAAAGAAAGAGAAAAAGAAAAATAAAAGATTATATTAGGAGCTGATTAAAAGTACATGCCTGGCGTGGTGGCGCATGCCTTTAATCCCAGCACTTGGGAGGCAGAGGCAGTCGGATCTGTGTGAGTTCAAGGCCAGCCTGGTCTACATAGAGAGTTCCAGGACAGCTGGGGCTACAGGGAGATCCTGTCTCAAAAAGACCAAAAAAAAAAAAAGTACATAATGTTCTTTCAGAGAACCCAAATTCAATTCCCAGCACTCACATGAGGGGTCTCATAAGTTTGTTGCTCAGAAACAACTTGCTAAAGTAAATTGGGCTTTAAATATTTTTAAAAACAAGAAGTTTTACCAAATCCCATGGTTCATAAAAACTCCCTTAAGGTCCAAATAATGGCTGGATCCATTCCTCTCATTAATTAGAGTCAAGGCTCCATATGTGTGCGTTCTCCTGCAGGCTCTCTCTGGATTCCAGTGTGACTGGTAAAGGCACACCATGAGCTGGCAACAACCTGGCCATAGAAGAGGGACCCTCTCCTGAATTTCAACCACATGAACAGCCTTCCTGTTTATTTCCTTTCTCCTTGAAGTGTTGTCTTGTTTGTGCCACCTTTTCCAGAGAATTACCCAGGATGACGTCATGCCATGTGGCTTCTCCAGCACATGTATCCTAACCAGACAGTAACCACCCCAACCACATGCTTCTTTGCTATAACAAGCAGGGAACTGTGGGAATGACTTTTACATGTGTCTTCTGTAAAAGAAGGGGGAACTGTGGTAATGGCTTTTACATTATAGAC